ACTGTTTCCATTGCAGTTTTGCGAAAAAACACCAATTTCGATACGGCTGAAAAACCACCTCATCCTAGCGCAAAAACATTTGGTCGAAAAACGTAATTTTTTTTTCTGAAATTGCAGTTTCTTTTTATTTATTTATTTTTGAAATTCTAATTTGCGCATGGTCAATGGAAACACACCTAATGATACAAATAAATGATGTCAAATATAAACCACAACTYTGTCATTAATTTGCTTTAAAATTCTTTTTTCACATTTGTATCATGTGTGTGTGACAACATGAAAATGGATTTAACAGTTGTAATCACAACAATGTAGCTTCCTGAAAGGACAGAGTGATGGTCACTCAGTCTGCTGCCTCTCACTGCAGGTCATTTCAAACATTAAAGAACGACTGTTTTTCTGTGCCGACGCTCAAACTCACCCTCCAGGGTGGAATTCATTTGCAGGATCCGCAGATTCTGGGAGCGCCGAGTTGGAGAGGAGGAGGGAAGACAGGAGAGCTCTTTTCCCAGAGTGGGAACGTCTGGTACCGTAAAGACAATCTCATAACAGCGGTGGCTCTTTAAAAAACCAACCTTGGGGAGATAAGAAGCAGTTTCAGAGACGAGATAAACCAAAACCTAAGCTCTAACAAATGTTTATGTGTTCAATTAAAAAAACCTTTGGTTTGATTTATGGCTCTTATCTCACTGGGATGGAATGCTTCTCTGATTCCTCCCGAAGTTGTTTGCACTAACTTAGAGAGAGACACCTTATGTTTTCTTCCTGTTAACAAGATATSTCATGAACTAATGACAGGATCATAATGAAACTTTCAGAAAATTACAAGTGAACTGGTATCTTGAACTGATTAAATTTTGGGTTCAATCCCACTTAATATAACCATAAAATGAGGGACTACAAATAAAGAACTACAAAGATGGCGCCAGGAAAATACGTAGTTCAAGAGTATTTACTTTGTTACAGTACTTGATTAATTTTTTTGAGGATGTTGTTATTTTACCAAGTATTTTTTAAAAATCGTCATACTTTTACTACTTTAAAATTTAACACCTAGTTGTACTGTACAAAATTAAATATATCCAAACTCATCATGAAAGGAGTTGTTTATGCTCGCTAAAAAATTAAGTTCTGTGTTAACTCAAACAAGTCATATCAACTGGTTCCACTAAAMCTAGTAGAGTAAATACTTTTAAAGACAATGTGAATTGCTCAAATTACTCAACTTGGTTTAGTGCTTTAGTTATGTAAATTCAACAGTTTATTTCTTAGTGTGTAAAAGTACTTTTACTTTCTCCATTTTTGTAAAATGTTTTCTGACCTTTATTTAGTGAAATGTATTTTTACAAGACATTGTCTGTTGAGGTATTTTTACGTTTATTTAGTTATTATGAGCCCCGCTCCTGAAGCCCCCCTCTCTCTCTCTCTCTCTCTCTCTCTCTCTCTCT